TTCGAACAGAGACCTTGAAGAACCTCGTACCAATTGAACAGAAGTTTGAGTGCGAATGCTGCTAGCGTGCGGATGGTGCTGGCGCCGCGGTGCTAGCGTTTTGCGATGACGTCATAGCGTAGCGTCAGAGGGAAGTTTGTTGATATTGCCATGGAAACCCAACGCGCCGACGCGCGCAGCGCACTGCAGCGCTCCGCCGTGAAACAGGGCCCAGGTGCACAGATGACGTCACACGAAGGGGCGGAGTCGGGGGCGGAGCTTGGCGCAACGGCCGCCATATTTGAATTTGTTTTATTAGAATGTATTCTATATTTTGGGTTTCAGCATAGATATACAGACTAGATAGGGCAGCTGTTTAGCGACGGCATGCAGAGGGCGCCGCCATGTTGGGGCAGCCCTCGGCGGGGCAGCTCTGTGTAAGTGAACGGGAAAATGGCAAAGTTTACGGCACATTTTTTGGTATTTTTAGAATGAATAGTGTTTGTCTCTGGAGTTCAGCTCATAGATTGAAGCTTGGAGAATGTCAAATGGAGGTTGAATTGTGCTCAACTAGTTTTGATTTAGATATATGAAGATAGAAAGGAGTGAGTGTTACCCGGATGGCGCCATTGTCTCAGTTGGGCAAACTACGGGGAGGTAATCAAGAACTTGATTAATCAAGTTCATGATTATTTTATGCCCATATTTGGTCATGTCTGCAGCCCGTCACGAAAACGGCTGAATCTCGATTCAGGGTCTACGGAGATGCACGAAAATTGTAAGACCGATAGAGAAGAAGTCACTCTACAAGTGTAATGTTTGAATGATTCAAGTTGAAAATCGTGAGGCGGTAGATTGCAACCAAAACGTAATCAACAACTTGATTACGAGGCGTCGTCCCGGGAGTCCGATGATCAACTTCTTGATTATGCAGCCAGCTGGCTAATCATGATCTTGATTTCGCATTCAGCTGGCTAATCACGATTTTGATCGCGCTGATCGTGCTACTGGCGAGCGTTGAACAATGCAACTAATTAAAAGATACAATGATAATCGTGTATATTATTGACAAAATCAATCAGTTTTGGTGGGATGGAATTTATGTTGCAGTTAATGTTTCTCATGAATGACTTGACCGAGCCTGTTCAAATTTTTGTGTGGCTAGAAGCCTATTAGCTATAAGTTTTGGACAAATCGGGGATAGGATATGTTTGCACACGCGCACATCATTTCTGTATCTCCGGAACGGCGTCACCGATTGTTTTTCAGTTTTGGTGGGTGGCTAGAGACTTAATAGCTGTAAGCTTTAGACAAGTTAGGGAATAGGGATGTGGCACACACATGTGGACTTGTGCACGAGCACACCTCTTCTCGCGCTTGCTCGCTCACATTGCCGAACACGGATCTGAAAAAGACCACCCCGAGCAAGAGCACCGCTGTCCGCGATAAGCGGCCTGACCATAAGTCAGCTCAAATGATAATCTGCATACGACCACATATATTGGACGAATAGCGTTACAACCCTAAGCCCGTGTAACCAAGCACAGATCAAAGATATATTTCAAGAAATGTGTATTGAAATGTGTATTTATAGTCCGCGCCGATGGAAGGCTCAAAGAATTGGCAAACGCTTCCGACACCCCGCCGCGGCATGCTCTACGGGGATCTCACTCCACTTGCTTCACGGTCGCGATGGCCGCCGCTGATGGCGGCACATCGGCCTTCACTCCACCAAACACTTTGGTTCTCAGAAACCAATTCAGATTGACCATGTTTTTAGGAGTTTTGATGTTAAAAATCCAAAAGGCGGCCTGCCACAGCAGGAATGCTTGGTCTGGTGGCGCCGATACCACCTCCTGGGCCTCGACGAATACCGCGTCTTCCCCGCCCAGCTCTCCATTCACGATTATGGGATGGAAAGTTTTGCGGGCCTCCGTTGGCTTCCGTCGTCTCTTGGAGAATGCGCTGCAGGTTCTCCCAGCTGGTCCCCTGCAAAATGTTCATAACCAAATTATAGGTACACTTAACATTGCGTGGGAGAAAATGGAGGAGAAAGAATAGGAGAGAAGGAGGGAAAGAGTAAAGGAGGGAGAGAGAGAGGAGAGAGAGAGAGGAGAGGAGAGGAGAGGAGAGGAGAGGAGGGGAGGGAGGAGGGGAGGGGAGGGGAGGGGAAGGAGGGAGTGAGGAAGGAAGCAAGGAAAGATGGAAGGAAGAAATGATGGAGGAGAGGTAGACAGATGTAACAAGACAAACAAGACAAGACATGGACCTGATGTGTTGGCGCAGGGCACTGATACTACATTTCGGCACATGATGTGAAAATAATGTATAATGCCTCAGACTCAGCAGTCTGGAAAATGTAGGTACAAATTACACATGTATCAGTAAAGAAGTTTCTGCATTTAGATTAGAATGAATTGTTTTGAAAACATTAGAATAGACAATGCCTGTATCTTGAAAAAGGATTAGATTGGCCTGTGTCAGGACAAAACTGGGGATGAGTCATGTGAGCTCGCAAAGTTGTGCCAGGCAACTTCATGAGATCACACTGAAGGAGCTCCAGCGAATTATTTTCAGCATGCCCAGCTCGAGTGTGCAACATGTACACTGGACTGGATCATTGTAGTGTCTGAACGTGACGCACCAAACTCAACGTGACACACCAAACTGAATGTGACGCACCAGCGACAAAACAAAACACTACAACCATCTATTGCAAAAGCAATTTATACATACCTGCAGCTGTGTGTCCCTGCATCCTGGCCTGCTGTCTTGCATGAGCGCTGCACATAATACAAATGTAGCTGTAGTTAGTCCGCTTAATTCCAAAGAAGTTAATCATATCATTTTTTGATTGAAAATTCCTCAAGGTAGGACCGTAGGTACCATTATCACAAGCTTCCTGAACAATACTGTGGTGACGCCCACCGCTACAGCGAGGAGGTGGTGCTTTGATGAGCTGTGGAAAAACAGACACATTTGCAGTCACCACTTCTATTATTGTTCTATGAATCCATGACAAAGCCACTTAGAATGCAAGTATGAATAACCTAGCATAAGCCGAAGTTTAACTTTTTATTGAAAACTAAAAGATATATCCTATTGGTACCTGCTTGCACAGATAATTGACAAGAATAAATAATATGGCCACACTACAAACTTTTGCACAACCTGCCAGGCCACAACATTTCTAGCTACTGTGGGCAGTTCAATGTGCCTCCCTAATCAACAATTGCCCCAAACAACAAACTATGCCTATTATTTACTTTAAGATAAACTATAACCTTGTAAATAGCAATACATTTTGTAAATAATTAAAATATTATACCGCGGAAAGCATGCGCCATGATAGCCTACAAAATCATCATAAATTCTATCGCGATATTTCAACATTTATACCGACGCACATGAACGTTGAGGCTATTCAAATATACAAACATGATCTAAATTATTTAAAAAAAATGCTAATTTTACCTATAAGAACCAAATTACCAATAATTCGGCGCTAATTTCCGGCCTCACCCACACACCGACAACACGACAAATGGCGGCGTGCTAACAGGCGACGGTGCCTTTTGGAAGAAATGTTTATTACGACCAATTTAAGACGTGTGTAAAATGAATGTCCAATTATTTATTTTTAAATTAGAAACGTAAAAATGTGGATAAAAGAATAATATCCGCCTAAAAAGGGCTTTAAAAAATATCACTTTTCTGAAAAAGTTAGGCTAGCAGTTTATCTTTCGCCATATGAGCTAAAGTACATATCCCACTGCTACCGGTCCATATCATTTCGGGAGAATAGAATATTGCGTTTCACCTGGTAAAAAATCGTGTCGATATGGACATTATAACAATCGATACGAAACACTTGAATAGTTCGGTGCACGAAAAGTAATCAAAATCTTGATTACAACTCCTTATATGGTCATGCCACGCCCCATTTTCATGACGTCATAATCATGAACTTGATTAATCAAGTTCGTGATTACCTCCCCGTAGTTTGCCCAACTGGTCTGACAGGTATGCTGCTTTGCATTTGAGGGTATTTAAGGGGTTGATAGTACATTTTGTTGGATAAACATTATGTGGAAGTACAGTAGTATCTCATACCTTTATTTTCTTCCTTATTTATTATATAAACAACAAAAGATCTAGGCATTGAAAAGTGTAGTTTGTGATGCAAAATGCTGGTGCTAAAATGAGTTTTATTGTAGGCCTATGGTAGGTTAAATTATAGCACTATGTCAAATATATCCTCATTTCATATCTAAAAACACTTCAGCTTTTGAAAAGTTACTGTGCGCCAGACTGCAAAGCGCGTCAACACAGTCAGCAAGCCGCACAAGCTGGGCGACATGTCTGCTTCAGTCCTCTGAAAATGTGCAACAGATATCAGCTGCACTGACAACAAGACTTACATTTTTACCACAAGCTTCTTTATCTTCTCTGTTGATAGGAAATACTGCAATATAAGACTTGAAATTTAAATCACATGCTGACTTGCAGTCAGTGACTGCGTTATGTCTCTGACGACTTGACGATCTGTTCACCATTTTCTTGGAGCAGATATGATATGCCAGTGCAGCAGATCTGCATTGTATGATGTTATGGCCAGCAATGCTCAACACAAAAATGTTTACCTTTCTGCTGCAAATCTAAGCCACCCTGTGCAGCTGATGAGCACCTCTGCACTGGCAATATGTTATCGGCATTGCCGTCTGGGCTGTGGTTGGTGCTTTAAAAACAATGGTCTACATGTGAAATTCCAAAATTGTGAACCATTTTATAGCCTTACAGATATTGCAATATTTCTCTTGCCATCTAAATGGTTTGAAATAGTCTTCATTGACCTGGGTTTTATGAGCAAAGTTGGTAAATGCATATTTCAAACTGAGTACAGTGGTGAGCGAGTAGGAAAATCCTTTCCTGATGCGTAGTTACTTGCTAATGTAGCCCAGATAATTGACTCAATAAAATGATCAATTAATGTATCTATCTTTCAGGTTCAGTTATATGCACAACTCACAAGTGCTAAAAAAGGCTGCAAGATGCCTAGCTAGCAACTGCTCCAACCAGTTTGAAGGAAGAAGGGGTGTATTTCTCCACAGGTAAATAGAAGATATCTTTTTCAGTTAAGTCTGAGAGGATGTTTTAGAAATGGATATAAATTGCAGTTAGTATTGTTCTCATTTATGTGTTTGTGAGATAGTCTCTGTTCATATTTTAATGTGGATACATCGCAATCCATAACAACAGTTGGCCATAAGGACAATTGATTAAACAATGGTCTGTTAAGAGCTGAGTAGCATCAAGATGCAGTGAATATAAATGTATGGTTACAAAGAGTATTTCATTTGAACTAACTTCTACCCAGACCCTTGTTACGAGTTATTCAACACATTAACAGATGCCTGTCATTTTTTTTCACTTTCTGGGTTTCCTCAAGACCCAGATGTGTACAGCAAAAGGACTGGCGCATTCAGGTGAAGATGGACTGGTGGCAACATGTGTCGGAAGGGGGCAAGCTTGGTCATGCAGCACACTTCATGATGAGGGCTCCTTCGATTGCACAGACCAGTTTGGCTGTGCTATGGTGCAGTCCCACCAGGTCTTTCTTCCCTGCTCACTTGCAGGTGAGTGGCATGTAGTTGTGCATGGTGAGCAGAGTCCACTGCTGTGTCATTGCTAACATGTGAAAGCAGCCTATGATCTATTTATACTGTTACAACATACCATACCAACTTTGAGCACAATCATTCCAGATGTTTTTGTGAGAAATAGATACGTGCTCTGCACATGTACAATTGTACACATACAATAGTATGCCTCAAGTGATTAATGATTGCTTTAACTTATAAGCCACTCATCAGATTGGTCTCCAACCAGTGTCCCAATTTTGTATGCAATGCATCCTGCCATTCTGAATTCATAAAAATACCCAACACGCACTTGCACCCAAACCACATTTCTCATTGCATTGCCAAGGGAAGTGGGTGCCCAACAACACACAAAGTTTCATCAAAATGTGTCTAGGCATTAAATAGGAGTTATTGCAAACAGAACAGATTTGGCATCGATGATTTAGTAAGTGCCTGGTGGAACGTGCCAAGTTGACTCCCCAAATGCTTCAACAATGCGTAATTTCAAGGAAGAATAGAGAAGCTACACAACATGATAACTGTTTGCCAAACAGCATGTATGGCTGCAAAGATATGGGCCTCCCTAGAATGCTTGATGCCAAGTTTGACAGTTCATACTCATTTAAGTTTAAGTTTGACAGTTCATACTCATTTAACCCGATATTTTTTGAAATTATATCTCAATATTTTTCGATAATCAATATCATTTCTTTGTCGCTCGTAAATATTTGTATTCCATGGACCATGATTGATCTCCTCATGTGTGAATGTGTTTGAACATGGCAGTGTGTGCATGTCAGGTCGAGTCCGCTCATCGCCCTATCCCTATAGGAGAACTAAGAAGTAGGCATGATTTGTTGTTTTTATTTTCCTCAGGACCATTTCAATAGCTGCCAGAGCTGCGGGGGCTGAAGCAAAGGCTAGAGAAAGCTGCGACCAGGACGTTGGCCTGTTCCAAGCAGTCTCGAAACGCACACAAGAATGGGAAAATGTCGATCCGGACAGCACGCCCCAGGGAGCGTCACTCGTCAGAGGCGGTCTCGACGGGCAGGCCGGGCGGTGCCCAGGGAGCAGCGTCACCCGTCTGTGGCTGCCCCGATGGGCAGGCCGGGTGGCACTCCGGCAGCAGCTGCATCCGTCTGTAGCGGCCCCGACAGCAGGCCGGGCGGCACCTTGGGAGCGGTGGCACACGTTTATGTGTGGGGTGGCCCCGACGGCAGACCGGGCAACAGAGGCAGTCTACAGGGAATAGCGGCACACGCCTATGGTGGCTCCGACGGCAGGTCGGACACCGAGGCGGCTCCCATGGAGCAGCGGCACCCGTCTGTGGCGGCATCGACGGCAGGACGGGCGGTGCTGATGTAGTAGCGTCTAGTTTGCTGATAAACGTTAGCGATATAGGCATCATCCTAGTCACCATGCTCAGGCGCTTCGATGATATGCTTGTGCTGGGATAAGGTCAACCTAGAATTCTGACCTTACGTCAAAGTCAGGTCAGCCTCTCGGGGCCCTGTTTCACCGGTGATAGCAGCACGCTGCTATTACACGTGTCAAATTGGGTTTCCATGGAAACATCAACAAGCCATGACGCCGTCAATCTGTGTGATGTCATAAAATATTGCTGCTAACATCTTCACGGCCGTGCGATCAAACAAATGTATCAAACGCAATTCAACGAGACAGCAATTCTGTTCCAAACGCAGCTCACGGATTACACGAAACGTCATTAGTGTGACCTCATCACATTACGTCAGCTCGCGCAATTTGATAGCAGCACGCTGCTATCACACGTGTCAAATTGGGTTTCCATGGAAACATCAACAAACCATGACGCCGTCAATCTGTGTGATGTCATCAAATATTGCTGCTAACATCTTCACGGCCGTGCGATCAAACAAATGTATCAAACGCAATTCAACGAGACAGCAACTCTCTTCCAAACGCAGCTCACGGATTACACGAAACGTCATTAGTGTGACCTCATCACATTACGTCAGCTCGCGCAATTTGATAGTAGCGTGCTGCTATCACCGGTGAAACAGGGCCCAGGTCATGTTGATCTAAGAGGGCCGTATAACTCATTTCGATTTTGACGGTCTTCAGTCCATTGGTGACTGTCCTGACTCGCCAGCTCAATTTAATCGAATGATTTGCCTGAAACTCCGACTCTGGCTTCGTGACGTAATCTATGTCGCTAAAGTAATCGGTGCGAAAGTTAAAAATTGGCTTGCAAGATGTGTATTATCTCATGGTTTCGTGCGTTTGCATAATCTTCAATCATTTTCGGCACCAAAATAGCAGTTACTACCTTTCCCCATTGACTTGTGATGGCGGTGTCACGTGACTGACCTGACCTCAGGTGAGCATCAGGAAAAATATTAGATATACAAGCTATAAGGCCTCTGGAGGGTACAAGGTTCTATTAGTTTGATCTCCCTGTGAAAGCTCCTCTGGCACTGAGGGCATTGCGAAGTTGCGGCATGTCATGACCGCGCGGTGGCTCTATTATGACGTCATAGGTCAGTGACCGGGCATGACCTGTAAGGGTGATTAGTTTCATAAGATCCGGATTTAATGAAAAGTCAGTTGTACCAACTTCCAGCTCTCTGAGGCCAGCGTGTACCGAACAAGCACGAGTAAACCGTCTGGGAACAAGGGGTGACTAATCCCTCGCTGCGGTACGGTACGATGATGAAAAATTGATTTCAAATACATTTGGTGATGCTATAGGCTCTAACTAATCATTTCATAATCATACTGGCCATCTGCAGCCTCCCAGTAACTCAAAAATCGGTTTGGAAAACGGGCTCGAAACCGCTCCACCCCCATTCACTTTACGTGTTGTAGCAAATGCGAGTCTATGTAGGCGGCTGCCCCAACATGGCCGCCTGACCTGCATGTTCGCTAGTATGGGGAGCCAATGGGCGTGTCCTATCTAGTCTGTATATCTATGGGTTTCAGTCAATTGTTATCGATAGTTTTATGAACGGTTAGCTGTAATATAAGTGATTTATCAAGAAAAAACATTCTGCTTGCAATTTCGATTTAAGTACGACCCGCGCCTAGATACGAACGCACGATCTTTGGATTACGGCGCAAGCATCCTAACCACTACACTACTGCGGCGGCGTGGCGGCCGGCGGAAGGGAGGCTGAGGAGGCATGGGGGCTTTTTTACGCATTTTTGGAAAAACTAATGGGTTTAGTGAAAAACGCTTCTTAGATAATTCGAAGAAAAATGTCTCGGCTTTCCGATGATGCACTAAGTTTTGTGCTAGCTTTAGCAGAGTTTGTTTTACAGCGCTTCGAAAATCGCCCATTTGCATAGGACTTAAACGGGACTTCAAGACTTGCCCCCAGATGACGTCACGAGCTGACGTCACGATCAGGTAGAATCGCCGGACGACCCTACCTGGCCCATACCCATGTGGAGTGCGTGGAGTGTGTATCTTGGTGGCCTTGAATACTTCATCCATGTCTTGGTGTATATTATGACCACTGTGCAGTGTGTATATTGTTATAGCAAGGCCGTATAGGTATATCGTGAAATACAAGGATTTGTGGCGGCTCGTAAGCAGCAAGAACCAAGCTATACGGCCTTGGAACTCTTAGACGGCCTCGGAAGCAAGTACAAAGTACCTATATCGTGATAAGCGCGCATAGCCTTGCGCATAGCCTTGAATGCTTGTGGGAGGTTACGGTGTACCGGTGTGTCGCAATTAACTACCAACTACCTATCATTTAGCCCATTCAGCAACATTTATTTTATCTTAACATTTCTTTGCGAGTACTCAGTACACGTAATCATGGGTGTTTTTTGGAAGACGATCGCCCCATGTAGACTGCGTCTGAAAAATCTTCCGGCTACGTTATGGGTAAGCAAGTTTTTCGTATCTGTACTGTTATATCTGAATAATGGCCCAGCTGTATGTCATAGCTGATGATGTCCCCGGCTCAGACATTAGTTAATTACCTACCATGATGTACTGTAAACCGGGGTGACAATGATACCCGGGTTGACTTTGATCATTGACCATTTTCGGGCCTAAAATGAGTATCCTGCTTCTGTGAACTGTATTTTCTATGCCAATGGTTAAATAAAGCAATGAAGCATTATAGCAGACCAAGACACTTTGGCCCCAGTTAAAATAATCATGTTGATGTCACAGCTTGTTTTTTTTTGTCATTGGCATGAAGTATAAATTCGCTAGCATCTCCAGCAATAATAATGGTAGAGATCAGAAAGACCCAGATCAAGATAAAGAAAGAGAAAGCAAAGGCTTATATACTGAGGATGCAGGATGAGCATTGAGCTGCTCTATCTCAGTGGTAATTGGAGGATCAATGCAAATGGGAAGTGAAAAAGACAATCAATTGGGAGAGGCATGAGCAGTATGGCAAGTGGTCCCACAGCCACCAGCAGACAAAGTGTGATGTAGGACATGTAGTCTGCGGCTTAGAATATCTGTGACTGTTACTTAATTTTGAAGTCAGAGGTTAAAGTAGCTAATTTTGCTGCTTATTGCTCTGTAATGTGAGCTTAGCCCTGGAGCATGCAACTTTATTTTAATACCTCAATGATTCATAGTTATGCTGTAAAATGTGTGAGATATTGTCAAGCAAAGCTTTTCATTTTATTTAAAACATGTAAGTTTATCACACAAGCCCCTTCTGAGGGCTCCTATGGCACATATAAGGTGATTTTAATGTAGGTAGTGATCATAGGCGTCACCAGAGATTTTGGGTTGGGGGGGGGGGGCAAAATCAACTTTTGTGTTAAATCTTGCCTTTCCCCAGTCGTTACTCACTCGTTTTACATATCATTCGACGCACAATGATGCGAGGAATCCGATGGTGACAAAGTTTTCCTTCTAGCTATGACATGTAATTTTTCACAGAAAAATTCGAAATTTTGAAATTTCTGGACAAAAACGACCGGTAGAATTACAGTGGCTGCGATTGCCGGCGCACTGCATATGGCCCCTGTGTAGACTCTCGTCGCTCATGATCATTACCCAGAAAAAGGCGAAAAATGATCCATTTAATTGGATCCCCCTGCTAAAACCTCCAGTCACGCTTGCATGCAGAGGTTTTACGTGAAATGCATAGGGTTTATCCCAGCCGCCGATTGTAGCGAAGTTGTGGCATTCGGCGGAGACTGAGAGTGAATGTCGGAAGTGTGGATCGGAAGAATTCATATTTGCTCCAGTGAGAGGAAGTGTTTTGTTTACTCGAGTGTGAACAAAAAGTTCCTCGTTTTTCGTGTGAAGGGAAGCGCTGCAAACGGCGCGAACAAAAAATGTTTGACGAAACCAAAAGTTACGCACGGCATAGCGGCAAGGGATCCCTTAGAGATAGGCTTGGGACTTCCAGGCAATTTCAGGCCACTCAGGGTCAGTGTGGACTCTTTGAAGTCTGCTTAGGATCCCGGAGATCGGTGTGGGTCACCCCAAATATTTACGTGTAGGTATGTGGTGCTTTAGGGCTTTCCGAGCCCAAGCTGGGGCCCTCAGAAACCAGTGTGGGCGGCGGGCGCTAAGTGACTAGGCCCAGGGTGAGAATGGAGCCGACGGACAACAGTGTGAACCGTCGGGGGTCTGTGTCGAATCCCTAAGGACCCTACGGCCTACGTAGGGACATAAGAAACGTGTGTTGCGGCCCTCAGAGAGACACGTGAGTTGTGACCCCTCAGATGCCGGCTTGGGGTTAGCAGAGTCTGTCGCCTCAAAAGTTGGGCTGAACTATCAGAGGCCAGTTAAGGTTCTCAGAAATTTTCGAAGGCATCCTCAAAGATTCGTGGGGCCCTTTAGAGGTCTACGTATGTATAAGGTCCTCAATGATCCCTGTATGGGCCCTCAGAAAACATGGGCACCAGTGGGACTCAAGAGGCCGGCGGGTTTCGGCCCTCTGAAAGCTTCTTAGAGCTCAGTGGAGCTCCTTAAGAGCCTGTGTGAAAAGCAAGCTCATGAGCCCTGCAGCACTTGGACGGTACTTGAGCCTGTAGCAGACGTTTGACGAGAGTTGAGAAAGGCCCGACGATTTCGTGTCACGTTGTGAACGAAAATGATGTGTCAGCACTCCAAAACTTATGAAAATCAGCTATAAAATGTAATAAAGAACCAATTAGGAATTTAGAATGAATCACAGCATTGACATTTCCGAGTCTGGTGTCGGAGTCTTGAAGATTTTGGTGACTGCGACTCTGAATCTGGTTTGAACTGCACGCTCCAACAGAGTCTGACCTCACAGGCATTCTCAGAAAGGTACCCTTATTTTTTCCCGACTCCAAAATCTCATTGGATCTGTATCGATCTCAGGGGGTGCCCGGTCCGAGGTTGGGGGGGGGGGGGCAAGCTGCCCCGCCTGCCCCCCCCGTGGCGACGCTAATGGTAGTGATTATAGTCACCCCGACCTCTGGGTGAGAATGATCATTTTTTTAAAATAAAATATTTATGATAAATTTCAAGACATTTAATGTACTCAGTTCGATAGAAAATTGTCCAATTGGTATGATGAAACAGTTTCCAGAGTGAAATATCAAGTGATTTAGAAGATTCACCTGGCTCACCTGACTCACCTGGTTGGGTTCCTAGTGCCGGAAACAGACAGGCAGGAAAGGATGGCAAGGAGAATGAAGGAACCCTGAACTATAGACGCGCCAGCCCCTTATCTCAGTCCATCTTGCAGCAATCCGAGTAGTTAAGGCTGGAATAGTGCGTCTTCCACATATTTTGTGACATGACTTGTCATGTATCCAAAATAAAGACGGCATAATATTGACTAACAACCTAATTTTACACATGCTAAGGTAACACACATTTTCACACATAGCCATGTAATGCATCATGCATACACCCATCAAGCTTTTTCTTGAAGTTAGCGAGACTGGACGAGCAAGCAACATCAGCGGGCAAGGCGTTCCAGGCAGGGATGCACCGTACAGAAAAGAAGCGCTTACGAACATCAGTGTGAGTTATAGTAGGGAATATTTTATGGCGATGACCCCTGGTCCGCTCCTGAGGGGGCGATCGAACAAATCATCAGGGGTTATGGGAGCGTTGCCACTAAATAGCTTCCAACATTGAATCAAATCTGCTCTCATGAGCCTCCGCTGAACAGAATACAACTTTAATGACTGTAGGCGCTCAGCATAGCTCATCAGGCCGGGGGGATCCAGGGCGTCGCAAGTCCATCTACGACACGTCGCAAGTTACGACACATGTCCCGTCACAAGTTGTGTCGTAGCGAAAAAGGAGGGATGTTGAGGAAAGAGGGGTCTGTCGGAGGATACGACAGAACGTAGCTACGACGAGGCATAAATACCCGCTTTACTCGAGAATTTAACCCGGCAGGCGGTGGGCCTCCCAGCCACCTTCCGCGCGGTGGGGGGGGGGCATTTTTTTGCCCCCCCCCCCCGTATCTCCGAAACTACTGGACGGATCCGAAAAATTCAAACGGCGTTCGATAGCTCTGTCAAATTTGTTCGTAGGAAACTAGATTTCATTGACCTCGGGGTCACCGATGACGTCACAGGTCAGGTCAAAGATAGAATGTTTCACCGTTCACGGGGCTTCTAGGGAAAGCGCTATAACACCGAGTAAAACGCATTTTGTCGAAAATCAGCGATAAGGCGTCAGTTGTCTAGTACATATGTTGCTATTAGAGGTCACTGGTCATACCAGGTCAGGTCACAGGTCAGGTCACCAAAGGTCACCAAGGGTCACCACATGAGCCCAACTTTACTAAGGTTATGCGATGCATGTTTTATGGCCAGTTTTTCATTTCCAACTCAATGGTGTTGGTTATAAGACCATCAGGTACGGTTTAGGTCACTTTCTGGTGGAGGTCAGGTCAAGGTCAGGTCAAAAAAGGTCAAATTTCAAAGTTGATATTTTTGCATAAAATGGGTATCGATTCGATGCAGCTCGTCACGGGGAGTCTAATGGTGGTCTTTGTTTTGCGCTACGAGGTCCAGAATTGCTAAAAATTGAGTTTGAAAATTTGACGTCATCAATTTTGAACAGTTTTTTCGCTATAACTTGACCAAAAAAAGAGGTATCGATCTCAAATTTGGTATGTAGATAGAAGGCGGTAGGAACTATCACATATATTCCGTTTTTTTCGAAATTCAAAAAACGTTTTGGATTTTTTGGCTATTATATTCAAAAAATCTATTTTTTTATTTTTTGGGGCCAAAATCCAAAAAATTTGAAAAACCGAAATAGCAGTTTTGTAGCCCTTTTGATTCCAAACCTTTTATGTCTGAAACATTTTTCTGTATCTCTAAAGCTGTAGGTCTGACAGCTCTTCCCGCGAAACCTTTTTTTGGGTCGAAAATGGCAAAAATGACTTCACTCTGACGTCATTAGCGGCCAACCTATCATAGCCTTTGGAACAATTTTTGGTCAATATGTGCGCTAGCTGCTCCCGGGAGGGTACTGAAAGTTTGGTGACGATCGGCGCAGCGGTTCTCGAGATATATTGAAAAAACTAAAGGGGGGCCAAAAAATGCCCCCCCCCCCCCCACCGCCTGGAAGGTTAAAAGGCTACACGATCAGCTGATCCGTAGTTAACGTCAGTAAGGTCGAAAACTCTATCACGCATAACGGAACATTCGCCTTTCTGGTTTGCGAGCTTATGAGACAGCCAGGTCAAGCATGTTCTCTGATTCTGTAGCTTTGTCTCAACTGGCTGACTTGTGATCGCTAACGCTCACATAATTTGTCATAAAATTTGGGGTCCATCACAGGAGATTCGTGGCTAAAGAGCATCTAGAGGCGATGCTTTAGAAGAAATGAGATCAGAGAGTTTGAAGTCACAGAGAGGTAAGAGAGTTGAAGTTAGAGGTCAAAATTGGAGGTTTACAAAGGTCATC